CATCACAGTATGGTAAGGGGCGTAACATTTCCGGCACACGCTTGAGGTATTCAGTCAATCACAACGCACTGGATAGCTGGCCAATCACAGCACACCTCGCTTTTCAGACTGATGAGCTTTGTAAAAATCGACACATTTCAGAAAGGCGGGGCATAGAGGAGAAACAATAATGTACAGTATGTACATAAACACATTTCATTACACCAAATACAGAAAAGAATGTTCTTTTTAGCAACATCATATGACCCCTTCAAGGTAAAAATAACTGAATAAAACACAACCATTAAATGATCAAAATTAAACTTCTTGCAGATAACAGCTAGTTAACCTAAGCACCCATGTATGTGCAATATGAGCTAACAAAGAGATTTTCACTATATCAGCAACTACAGCTACTGCCTTTAAATAAAGCAATATGTATCATATTATCAGCGTTTCTTGTTCTTCTCCTGGACTGAAGCACAGGCTCTACTCTTCAGCACAATGGTAACCTTACAAAACTCAAACAGAAGCTCTTTAAATCCCAACAGAACATTCAGCACTAACAGATCTCTCCTATATCATTGTGCGTAAAAACACAGAATAACATTTAATTTCAGCATTTACTCTCCTTTTACTGAGATCAAATCGCTGTTAGGTTTCACAGTGCATTGCTGCTTTTACTTGACTTTACAGTAAACTACTGGCAACAGTGTTGCCAGTGTATTACTGTTTTACAGTTTGTTTGCCATACAATTAATTGACAGTTTATTACTGTTAAAATAAATTTTGTGGGTGTATCTTTTTATCTTACACATTTAACCCTTTCAACCCCACAGGAAAATCCTGTAGTGTCCACACTACAAAGAGAAAAAGTAACACTGATGCAGGGTTCCAGTGAGATAATTAAGTGAATATGTAAGTAATTGCTGAGTATTAGTGATGAACACCTGCTGTTAACAAGCAGAATCACTGAAGTAAAGAGGAACAAGAACAGAACCCTGAAAAGAGACGAGCAGAAACACAAGAACTACAACTGACTTCCAGCCATTACACATTATTACACTTATTACTAACTAGTTTGACTTTATTTCTGTCAAACGTCTACAGAAGCTCTTATTGATAATTAGCAGAGGTTGAGATGTTTGTGTTTTATTGAAAACGTTTGGTCTGAATTACCGTTTTTGTGGTCAGTGTTTGCTTCAGTAGGGCTCTTGACTTCTTAATATTAGCTATTTCTCTGGCTGTGCTAACTGTGTGTTTGCAAAGCACATTTATTACAGCAAAACCAGAGCAAATAAGATGATCAGTGAATGCTGGTTATATATTGATGATGAAGTGCTCATCATGTAGCTCCTTGATTCACTAATTTCATTGTGTCTAATGCCTTAACAAATTTACTACATTACTAACACAGTTAAAAATCTTGTAAATGAATGATTAGCAAAACATTGCTCAATCTCATACAACAAAATCACAGAGCTACTGCAATCAATAGACATAAAAACACATAAAACACCCATGTAACTACATTAAACGAGAACAGAGATTCAAAGGAGTCCACCATAATTCTGGCATCATCATAATACAACCAATATCATCTGATCCATTTAGTCTTACCATAGGAAATGTGCTTTTTGAACACACAGTTCCAGCAGACAGAAAATGTCTCAACGTAAGCGTCAAGGTTCAAGGGCACAACTAAAGCAAACACTGACCTCCGTAACGGTAACTGGTTTCACACTCCATGTAAAAGGGTCTTAAAGCTGAAGCTGGAAGTCAGTTGTTGTTCTTGTGTTTCTGCTTGTTTCTCTTTTTTCTGTTCTTGTTTCTCTGTCCTTCAGTGATTCTGCTTGTTATCATCGGGTGTTCATCAGTGTCTGAATTCACTCACTTCCTTTCATTCCCTCGGTCAAGTAAACTAAATTAACTTTTTAACCCAACAGTTGGGTTAGTCCATATTTGACCCAACATTGGGTTGAAACAACCCAGCATTTTTTAGAGTGTAGGGAATAGTGAATGAGGGTATAGGGTGTGATTTTGAACACAACCTCTTAGTGCCTACTTTGAGCTCTGTTAATTCACAGTATATTCCTGTAGGCTGCTTTCACGAAAATGACAAGTATTACCCAGAATGCATTGTTTTCTACAGTATATTACTGTTTTTATAGAAAGTGGTAAGTTACTGTCAGAATTTGGCCATTTTTCTATAGCAAGGGTTGACAGTGCAGCTTGTGTAAATAGGTTTAGCATTTCACTGTGTTCCAAAGTTTAGTGAACTCACATGAAGACATTTGAGCAATAGAAGATTGACATATCTTAGTTGAAAGAACACAAATTTGCATGAAAGTGATTGTATATTTTTTATATTTTGGATTATTGTTTGTTATATGTTTTACGTAAAAAAAATCTTGTTATCTTCTACGGTTAAGAACCTTGGTATACTGCTTGACAGCAATCTGCTGTTTAAGGCATATCCTTGCTTTTGATTTATAAAGCTGATAATCTGTTTCATGCATTCATGACCTCAAAACTAGATTATTGTAATGTGCTACTGGGTGGGTGTCCTACAGGATTATTATATATGAAAATAAAGCAGTTAGAGTGCTTACTAGAACAAAGAAATATGATCATTTCAGTCAAATTTTAGTGTCACTACATACATTTCAGGAATTCTGCTATAATTATTTATAAAGCTTTGAATGGTCTGGCTCTGCAATACCTAAGTGAGCTCAAATCACACTATATTTAATCATGTTCATTCTGGTCATTTGATAACACCAAGAATGTCAAAATTCTCTGCAGGAGGTAGATCCTTTTCCTGTTTGGCTCTGAAACTCTGGAATAGCCTTCCTAGAAATGTTTGGGATTCAGACACACTCTGTCAGCTTAAGTTTACAGTACAGATCCATCTCTTTAACCAAGCATACACCTAATTCATCACCTAAACACATGGTTATGCTGCATTAGTTAGGTCAACCGGATTTGAAAACACTTCTCATAAATCAGAATTATTATGTGAAGGGTATCTATGCTAATATGAGTCATTTCATATGAGTCATTCATTTAAAATGAATTGCTTCAAGCTGGACAACAGTTGAAAATATCTATGCTATCAATGAAACCCTCAGTACTAGGAGGTAATTTACCAACAACACAGCTTATAAACACCTAATGTAGTTTTTCATTAATGTTTTCAGCTTTCTACTTTTCTTTCACAGAACAACCTGCTGGCTGACAAATAATCTGGGTTTAAATGCTGACAATCCACAGAGACTGTCTTGCTGTCAGTTGTTTAAACTCTGTGGCTGAGAGTCGACTCCAGATCATGGGTCCTACAAGACGTTAACGTTTCACAGAGTTATGAGCTAACCACATCAACTAACCACTGGGGTGCCTCAAGGTTCAGTTCTTGGTCCCCTCCTCTTCTCCACATATACAAGTGGAGTAGTGAGTAGTGCCTGGTGGTACTATCACTATTAAGTACAAAGTTGCTTACTTGAATCATCATCTGCATATTCTTCTGTGGTGGAACATTTTTCCAACCTCCACCCAATCTGCTCACTCGAGACCATGACAACGTGAGGTCTATGTTGATTTGAAAACATGTGGAGCCCAGCTGGTCTCCTCAGTGCAAGATTCAAGAACTGGTGTAGATATCTTAGAGTATCATTTTGGGGTATCTGACTGGCATTTCATCACAGAGAACATGTACAAATAACGTGAGTTATTTCTTTTAAACTAGATATATCCAGCACCCTTGCTTTTCTAAACATTAAAACCTTACAATGAGTTTGTCCAGGAAGTCACACTATATAACTTTATCATGTTATCTTCATCAATTACTGTTATATTTCAAATAAAGACTACATATGGATAAGTTTCTGTACAAATATGAGACAAATAGTGCTGTTCTGTTAAATAAGCCATACTTTTGTCATTCCTAAATTCTGAAATAACAGACATATAGGGCCACTGTGCATTTAGTTTCAACTAAGTTGTGTTTTTTGGATTGAATAGATTCTTAATTCCAGGCAGTTTGAAAATGATCTGACATTTTCTACTACTCTCAATAACTCTTAAATGCTTGCAGTGATCCACTCTGAGAACAAAAATCTGTCGGCTGAAATAGGCCTTTATAGGCTACTGTTCAATAAAATAGATTGCTTTCTCAGACACAGAGGTTATTGCATTGTAAAAACAAATTACCTAATCAAAACCATTTGAGAGCTGTGGCTTTCAGGAGAGCACTTGGAATACAATAAAATATGCTGATCACTAGGCCAGCTGCGTCTTTGTTTTGCGGTCGTGGTGGGGAACCGACTTAACTGGCTTTAGCGCTTTACTACATCACAGGTGGGGCACATGAGTCCAACACCTGTGAGGCGGAGCTGGCCAAAGGGGAGCGAGGCTGACCAGTGAAAACATACGTTTAAATCCTTAAACTCAGTCGCAGATTTAGCACTTCCTGGGTCTGACGTTCCAAGACTGGAACCAAGAAAAACAACTTGGGGAAATTTCTCCCCTCTCTAAGGGTTCAGGTTCAACTTTATGAGAGAAAGGTAAAAATTGTTCTTTAACCTCAACAAGGTTTTGGCCACTATCTGCAGCCTCGGGTCTGGCTTAATTTTCTTACTCATTCTTCTGAAATGAACTTTCCACACACATAAACACTGAACGTAACCCCCTACAGGTTCACAGTTTAGCAGAGATATAAAATTATGCGTAGTATTTGAAAGAATACGCCAGCAGAGGGGTGAGACAGAGGGCCGGGCTCAGGAGGGCTTACCCTATCTGTGACCCGTCCAGCCCGGCTCTGGCTGGTTGGGGGTGTTCCTCGAGTGCTCCAGGTCACCTTGTAATGGTGGACCACCAAGTCGCTCTCCCCGGGGGCCTCCCACAGGACCAGAACACTCACCGTGCCGTCAGGGTGAACCGTCTGGTTCCCTATTCTGGCATTCTGTGGGGTCTCTGGGGGAAACGGATCTGAAACAGAGATGTGAAGGTGCTTCAGTCAGACCACTGCTTTTCATCACACTCTCGTCAGTTTATTTGTGTTCACCTGACATGACCTGAAGTGAAGCACAGAAGAAAGACAGACCTCAGAACATATGCTCAAGACATGAGAATAAAGACAAACAATTTTTGGCCAACTTTATTGCTCATGTGACATTTTCAGGGATGTGATTTTTCCATATTCATACAGATTTTTTTTTCTTTTCACGCCAGCAGTGCAAGTTCTGGTGTTTTCAGTGACTCGGTTTGCAGTAAATGCAGCTCTACATGGACTCCATCTACATCATCCATCTTCCCAGATTTGTAATGAGAATCAATTATGAATCTGTTGTCGTCAAATGAGAAGCTTTTACGGTCTTCCTGCGATTTTCTGGTTAAACGCTTTAAAGCAAAGTAAGCAACGACAGACACTAATATTATTATTGTAATTTTACCGTTGTTCTGTAAAAAAAAATCCTATTATTAAATACTTGTTTTTATTTTACAGTACAATAGCATTATATATTTCTTTATTGATTTAATTTTTATAATTTAAATAATAATAAAATAAAATAATATTTTGAATAATGCAAATACTACTACTACTATTACTACTACTACTAAGAATAATAATTATCATTATTATTGCATAGTCAGATTGAACAGCCTGTTAGCATTTTGGGGTGGAATATGACATTAAGCTTTCATAATATTCCTTTTTGTCAGGAAAGAAATGCCATCAGTTAGACCAGTTTCCCTTCAAAATAAGGGATTTTAAACAACAGAAATATAAAAAAATACATTACTGTTGCTTAATAAGAATGGCGTTCTTGAAATAAGTAAAGGTCAAACAATTGTTGTCTTTAGTGTTTCTTGACTCCACATAAAGTGTTTTCACAAGCTACCAAAGTGTTCAGCAGGAATAAAGGAATGCATGTGTGTGTGTAGTTAATATGGTTCTCTATGAGTTTGTGTGCATGTTTCTGTTGATGTGGCAAACAGAGCTGTTGCAGACATGAGTTGAGTAGTGTGTGTATACGTGTGCTAATGTGTCCACCGCCGCTGCTGGGAGAGACACACTCCACACATGACCACTGCCAGTGATGCACGAATAATCCAGACAGGACAAGAGTGTAGACATAACATTCAGTCCGCGTCTCATTTTACTGTAAGCACACCCACCAGAGCCTTAAAAACAGTTATGACTACAGACACAGAAATATTCAGTCATGATCGTGTAGCTTGTTAAGAGCAGCAAATAATGTCAATCTGTTACAAGAAGCACTTGGAGGGACATAACCTGAACACTTATATTTTTACATTTCCGAAGAGGGTCACACTTTATTTTAAGGTCCAATTCTAGCCATTAACAAAACATTAACTTTTTCCTCAATAAACTCCTAATTTGCTGCTTATTAATAGTTAGTAAGGTAGTTGTTGGGTTTAGGTATCGGGCAGGATTAGGGATGTAGAATATGGTAATGCAGAATATGTGCTTTATAAGTACTAATAAACAGCCAATATGGTAATAATAGAAAAGCTAATAATCAATTCGTTAGTGAGAATTGGTCCCTAAACTAAAGTGTTACTCTGAAGAGAGCAGTGACTTCAAACTTCATTATTTTCAGTAAAACATCAACATAAAACTCTGTTAATTCTCAATAAGAAGTTTTGTATGAAAGAAATAAAGTCAGATTGTGATACAGTGAAGGTGTTTGCATCTTGAAAAGCGCTATACAAAAAAAAAAAAGGTGTTTGATCATAATTCAGGAAATATTTGTAAAAACAATGTTTTCAGCTTATTTAACTAAGGAGATTTTACTTTAATTGTATGGTTTTTGTCGCTGCCAGTCATTTGACTGTTTTGTCATCTAACGGTTTTGTTATTGTATTAATTACTGATCATTTTTTTGATACATTTGTTACATTTGTATGTAATTTAAGAAAACTGAAAAAGTACTGTATAAAAATAGTCAGTTTTCTGTATAAAAAATGTGAATTACTGTAATTTGTCATAATACTTAAAATAACAGCCGAGTAGCTAACTTAGAGATAATTTTACAGAGTTTTGACTACAATTTAAAATAAAAGAAAACAACCTGAAAAAATCTGTTATTTTCCGTAAAATTATGACATTTTTACTGTGCATGTTAGTCAACACATCAAAACAAGAGTACTTTTAAGCTTGATAAAATATTATTAAAACTAAATTATTTAAAATTGACTCCCAACACTTTTTATTTGACATTACAAAAAAAAAAAAAAAGAATTAAAATGTAAAGTGTGTTAAAATACCCTTAAGTACAGTTTTTAAAAAATATATTTTCAAGATGTGAAGTTAACTACATGTGCACATCCAATGCAATTAAATGCCCTTCTTCTCCACATTTGTCAATTCTCTATGATATGCTTTCGCCCACTTTATCATTGGCCAGGTAAAAGTCATATGTCCAATAATCTAGAAAAGCAGAAGCACACACTCTCTCCAAAACCACACTATTTAAGATATTCACATCTGTAGCATGTGGAACGAGTCACTAACCTTAGGCATGAGCAATATTGATAGTGATACTTGACTTAGCAAGCACTAATAATGCATTACATTCGGTTTCAAAGCATGAAAATAAAGACGCGCAGCACACGCTCTGTTTCTGATTAAAGCAAAAGGCCAGCTGCTTTACCTTGGAGGCCAATCAGTGTGCATTGAGCATGACAGAGGAAAGATGCTTTGATATGTCAGTTTAGCTCACATGCTAATGTCGTGCCTGTGGGGCTTCTGAAGAGAGCGTGTTTGGTCTGTGAAGTCGGCTTCATTTCTGACTCGGGGGCAGCAACTAAACAAAGCACATAATGGCTAGTTCACCAGCACAAAACTGTCACTTTGTATTTGTTCTCAGAGAGTCATTAGGTCACACAGGACTCTTCATCTGCAGGTTTCCCTCCAGCAACGGCAGCCATGCGCCCGACCTTTGACCTCAGGCATTCTTAATTCGACCCCTCGGACCCCACATCCTCCAGCAGTTTCACGTCAGAACGAACTCCATGTGGTGCAAACTTCTTTCCAAGATCTCCAGCACGTTCTGTGCGAATGTTTAGTGTTTATGTGTCAATGGGTTCTGAAGTTGCCTGTGCCAGTATGAGATATTGCTTCAGCGTTGGAGCATGCTAATTTCCGTTCCACTCTTAGCTAACGTGTGTTGACTGTCTTGACGCGAAGCAGATCGGACATTGAGAAAGAGCTTGGATGACGCTCCCAGGGCATTGCAGGAAGATGTCAGCTATTTCTAACACTCGTTTTATTCTTGCTGAGTTTAGCACGCGCCTTCCAAGAGTTTGTAATCTTTCAAAATAGCAGAAGGTTTGATTCCAGTCGTTGTTGGCAGCGGCTTGTGTGTTGCCTCAGTCTGTGTGTGATTATATCTTGGCCGTGCTGTTGAACTCGAAACATGCCAACGCAAGCACCCCTGAGGTCTGGGATGATATGGGCTGCATCACTCAGATCAGAGAGCATTACAGATATGATATTAACCAATCTGGTACCAAAAAAACATTTCTTCGAACGTCTCCAAAAGCCAAATCCCAGGTTTGAATCCGAGTTTGATTTCAGCTTGCCCTGGAGGATGTTTTCCGTATCCATGGAAAAGCTTATTTCATACTATTAGAAACATGTTTCGCATACTGAGCGCCGGCCAGACCCCGAGCGCAGGAGGTGTTGTGTTTGTGCGTATATGTGCGCGTGTCTGAGGATTTCTGGGGTTTATGGCAGAGTGGTTTTCCAGAGGTGGCTGACGGCATGATGCAGTACTGCTGCACTCTCTGGTCTGTCCTTTGGGGATTCGCACATTCTCTGCACTGCACTGTGTCACAGACACAAAGCCTTTAGTCGAGCGAAAACTAAATACTGAACGGCTACAGGTCACCTAAACGGTGATTTGTTTTGGAAAAATGGACCAACTGTATGTCAATCTGACCCAAATTGATTTTTGAGCTGTGGGGAATCTTGGTAATCCAATGTTTTTTTCTTGATATTTTATGACATTTGGGATCATTAACATGCAAAGTGATGTGCTGTGGAACGTGCATATAAAATTTCTATTATGATTATGATGTTTGAGGGTCATTTCTAACCACATGGTTAAAGGCAGCTGCAAACATCCCAAAAATAAAAAGTATTTTGTTATGTCAGTCTCTCAAGTATCCTCTAAGAGTATTTACATTTACATGTATGCATTTAGAAGATGATTTTATCCAAAGAAATTTACACTTTTGCATACTGTGGCATATATTTTTAAAACAGTTTATGCATGTTAATGTTGTAATAATCCTAGCATTATTAGTGCCATTCTTCTTCTGTTTGAGCTTTGGGAAAGCACACAAAAGAAGTGCTTTTCCACACTTCTTGTGTTTGCAATGTTAAAATGTTATTACAGTCCATAAAATGTAGTTTGTGAAACATTTTAAAAATAGCTGTTAAATTCAGTTGTAAACTCATATGCTCTCATGTTTATTATTATTATTTTTATTTATTTATTTATTTTTGTAATGTATGAGAACTATTATTGTCAAAGGTTCACTGTTTTTATTGGATTTTTTTGGAGAGCACCCATGTGTATCTTTGCAACAACAGCGTTTCAGTTTCAGCTCTTTGTGATGTCATTTTTAAACTATTCAAGTATTTATGCACTGTGAAAAAATAAATAAAAATGAAGAAATAAATTGATAGGTAAAGGCTGGACAGTGCTTTACACTGGCCATAAAATACATATAAATGCTTGCCAATTGCTGCTCTGAGATCAAGCTGATCGTATCTGCAATCTTGGTCTAAAATGATTTTTTCCTACCCAGATCCAAACTCGGGGTCCAAAACCAACCCTGGAAACTGTCCACCACCCCCAGGCCATATTTAAACAAACTGTCCCGTGTGTTTTACTCTGTTTGACAGAAATGAAATGAGACTTCATTACTGTACAAAATGAATATATCTTAAAATGACTTCAGAAACAATTCACTTCGAGGAGTAATGGATCCAAGCAGCCAAACAAATGTGAGGGATGATAATAGTTCCATACAGATATGATGAGATTAATCAAATCAAAACAAAACAAGCTCCCATAGCTAATATACTTCCATACAGTCCTCTTTGACTTTAACTCTTTAAATAAATTAATGCTTCATACATTTCTCATTTATTTGCAACAGCCAAACATAAAACATTATCGAGCTATTGATTTAAAAACTGCCTTTATGGTTTATTTGGCTGTTAGGTTTGATTCTTAGTGTTTTGTAATCAATCCTGGTGCCGACTTTAACTGTTTAACTGTATAATGGGAAAATCTCAATTTCATACATCTTTGCAGTGTGCCTTCAAATAAATAATGCAAATAATAATTGGAAACAGTGTGATTCCTTAAAAAATGCTGAAGTAGTAGTTGTAGTGTCAAAGCAGACAATCTCTGGTAGCATCTAGCAATTATTCAATATTCATTATCGTTTGCTATGGGTTCTGTCGTCAAAGATAACGCCATAAAGTGAAAATGGCTGTAGAGGTGAACACAACACCTCCCACGGTAAAGCTACGTCTTTGTTATTGTTTCGAAGAAGCGACCTCCAGTAGTGAGACTTACAAATACACATTCATTTTGTAGCACATAGGTATTCATAGATTGTGGTATTTACACCACATATAAGAAGACAGCATTTAAGTTTTGTAAAGTTTTAAATTTAAGTAAAGTAAAGTAAAGTAAAGTAAAGTAAAGTAAAGCAAGTAAAGTTTTGGTGCTGAGCCTTCTCACAGAAACAGCAGAAATAAGGTGAATTACCTATTTATTAACACTTATTATATAGTGTAAATAAGGCTTTTATGAACCACCAATAAAAAGGTAAAAATAAACAACTACTATCTTAATTTTAGCAGATACAACGTTTGATGTTAAAGGGGTCATGAACTGAGAAACCAAAATTCCCGTGATCTTTTGACATATAAGAGGTCATTGTACAATAAAAACATCCTATAAGTTTAGAACTCAAAACTTTCTCGTTAGTCTAAAACAGCTTATATTAAAGGAAGATTGTCAAAACGACAGCTTGTGGGATGTTCTACTCTATGATGCAATAGTGTGGATAAGCACCGCCTCCACAGAAGAAGATTAACACCAGCTTCAACATCGCTGCCTGTTTAGCCCCGCCCACCGATTCTACATAACTGCCTGTGCCCACCGATTCTACATCGCTGCCTGTTTAGCCCCGCCCACCGATTCTACATAACTGCCTGTTTAGCCCCGCCCACTGATTCTACATCACTGCCTGTTTAGTCCAGCCCACCGATTCGCAGGTCTACGCGGAAACCAAATGATAAAGATGCTCTGGAGACAACAAGACGCCATGCAGAGCCAAGTTGTGGAAAAACAGTGTTTGCATTGCCTTCCTTCTGATCCCAGCGTTAGGAAAGAGTGAATGAACTTTATTTTTAATGAAGATCCAGACCGCGTAATGTCGCAACACAAGTGTTAGTAACTATTTTTAATACGTGATCATTATTGCTTTATCTAATATTATAGGTAACTTAATATGTACTGAGTATTTATTTTATGCGTTTTAAACCTAAATCACAGCAGCGTCCATCTGTGAAGGCTGTAGGCTGTCAAACATACACAACTATTAGCCAATCATATCAGTGGGTGTTTACTTCCGAGTCTACAATCCTCCACGCCTATTCAAACAGAGCGTTCTGATGAGGGGGGTTAAAAACAGGACAGAAAATAGCCTATTAATTCTAAATTACGATATTTTTTTGATGTAAAAATCTTGATAACATTATAAGTGGACCTCGGAGAACAGTACAAAATAAAAAACAAAGGCAGTTTATGATCCCTTTAATAATGTATTTGTAAATGCAGAAATTCAAATGAACGAACATTGATAAATGATTAGGAAATATTTTTCATTGTTAGTTCATGCACTTAATATTAACAAATGGAACCTTACTGTAAAGTATTACATAGTAGAGATGTATAACTGAATCCATGAATCAATGAATCCATTTCATGTAGATCAAGTTTGTAATAGTTCTTAATGTTACGTTCTATAAATGATGTATGGTATTAAAGGAAATACTCAATGTAGTAACCCAGAAGTTACTTTATTGTCTGAATAGTCTCTGTTAGGAACGTTGTCTGTACTTTTAAAAATCAAAGTTCCAAAAGGATTTTTTTGGTGATGCCATAAAATAACTATTTTGGTTCCTTGAAGAACCTTTTAGTGAACAGTTCTTAAAAGAACCCCCTTTTTTTTAGTGTGAAGAATATTTTAATAATCTAAAGGACCTTTTTAACTATATAGAACTTTTTGCACAGTTGTTGGTTGTTTAAATGGATGTTAAAGATTCTTCATGGAACCACAGATGCCAATAAAGAACCTTTACTTTTAAAAGTGTGTGTAAAAGCTCAACATGAGCCTGCTGTCACAGTGATGCTCATGTGCTACAGATGCAAAATGAGTGAAAAAGGTCAGGGCGAGGGTGGAAAATTAGAGTTTTTGTGCAAAAAAAAAAAAGCCATTATAAGTGTATGTGTGTGCTGAATATGTGTGTGAAGTCTATTTAATTTGCTTCCATCACCTGATGACTATGTGAAGCAAATTCACAGACATTTCCTTCAGAAAATAATGTATTGCTGAAAGAGCTTTTTTACCTCGTACAGAAAAGAAATGCTTGCTGGGAGTGGTGAAGCCTCTTGTGCCCTGACTGTTGACTGCGCTAACTCGAAACTGGTACCACCTGTGGGGCCGGATGTCCTTCAACACGGAGCGGTCCTCCATGGTCTGGGAGAAGGGTCAGAGAGACTTTAATTAAGACAAATCCGCTCCTGATGCAGGATGGAAGAGCTCCATCACTGCTGTATGCTGATAAGAGTCACAGTAATGACAGCTCGATCCAGCGCAGGGAGATCTCTCTATAAAGGCCTGTTGAAAAGCACAGCTCAGACGTCCCTATCCATTACATCACGGATCCCACCGGGAGCTCAGATGCAGCACAATGAGCTGCCTGTTTCTTTCAATGTCTCTTAATCTCCTGAGAAGACCAGTCAGCACTGCTTTACTGCTTATGAAGAAAACACTCATTTAAGTGTGATAAAAAAAAAAAAAAGAAGAACATTCTGAGCTGTTTTCAAACTGGTATGGTGTTTAGCAAAGAAAATTATTCTGGCTTTCCCTCAGTGCAAAAAATAAAAGGAGTAAAAAAGAAGTTAGCATACTTTTAAAAAGAGTACTTATTATAGGGTATCAATTACAAATTAAATTAAAATGTATAATAGTTTACAATACAATTAGCAGACCTTTAGAGTGAAATGAGTGACTCACTTGAGTAAGACTTTAGCACATCTTCATAAGTCATTTCATAATTACTTCTCTTTAAAAAAAATGTTTACTTTGAAATCACTTCTTTTATTTTTGACATACTGTCAAATGTTTTTACTTAAGTGTGTTTAGAAACAGTCATGAAAGTGTCTCTCTTTATATACACAAAAGTGGCTTTTTATTTCATTAGTATTACATTATCTGCAAGTACAGCTTATTTAAAAACATACTTTTAATATTCAATGCCCACTGCAAGTGAACATCCAATACAATTAAGTGTTCTTTTTCAATTTTTTGGGAAAAAAAGAGGGTTTCAAAAGCTGAAATGAAAAAGCACTTGTGTTATCTGATGTAAAGTTGTAATAATATATATATAAAGTGTATTGCAAATCATTCAAATATATACAAATACTTAGTAGTATTACTTAGTAGTAGGGGTGTGTGATATTTATCATCTACAATAATATCGCAATTATTGTTTTAACGATGTACGAGCTGACATTACAAAGTATGTCACTCACTTTGTTAAAACAAACAAAAACTCGTCTTGAAAGTCAAAAAGAGTTCACTACATGATGATCTGAATGCAGATAGAAAGCCTGCATAATTAAAGTTATGAAAGCAAAAACATTCCTCTATGGGTTTTTGTTTTTATATGTTTATAAGATATCAGAGTTATGCAATATCACATAAGCAAGTGCGGTTTTCCCGAATATCGGCACGTGAGCGTGATCGCAAATGTTGTTTATCGTACTGTGGATTTTATACAATAGTTCAACAATCAAGAAATTGATATTGAGCGAGTTACATTTTAGACACAATATGGTCTGTTTTCTTTTCCTGTTTCGTCAACGAAAATAGTTCCAAACAAAGCCAGAGCAGAACATTTGTGCGTCTCAGAGAAACACTGCTGTCTTTTTTAACTGTTTTTGAACAAATCTGAGTCAATGATTCAATGATCCATTCATAAAGAATTCATGTTTCTAAATGAATCAGCTGTTTTGAACGAATCGTTTGAGTGAACGAATGGCCGTTTTAGTGTCATATTTACTTATCCATGACAGACCTAAACCAGTTAAGGTACCTGCACAAAAACACACTCAGCAAAATATCCTTTAATTTTTGTTATAGCGAAAAAAATCCCCAAAATAAAGAGATATCAATTTGTGTCTAACACACCCCTACTTAGTAGTTTGAGACTGATTGAATCTCTGGTTTCAGCAAACCCTACAAGCAGTTTGGCAAGTGTGTCCAGCTCTACAGCAGATTATAAACACTCTCTAAATGCTCTTAACATCGCACATCAATAGCTAATGAACCATATGAATATAGTTCTACTCAAGTCTGCACAGATCCCGTTATGACCATTCACTCTAGTACACATCTGTTAAACCTAACAGAATGGAGGAGTCCTTGAAAGACATTACTAGGAGGTTTGAAGAATTATTCAAGACTTCTTCCACAAACCTCAAACCCACATGCGCTTACGCTGAATAAACTAGACTCTTCATCTTAATCAGAGCTCTGTATCCGTAAGCACTTACCATGAGAACGGTCTGCCAGGCCGATGCGTCGTCCTCGCTGGGGTGAATCCCATGATTCCACCTCCTCTGAAGAACATACAGAACCGGCTCAACAGAGACGTTAAACTTGGACATCCACCTCACCTTCAGATGACCGTGCTGGTCCTCGGAAAAGGAAATGTCTCTCCTTGGCTTCAAAGGCACTCCTGAGCAAAAACAGAGACTTTGAGGTAAAAAGGGTGAATGGACAATGAATCAAGGGAAGTCTGTTTGGCCTACGAGGGTGACAATAAATCAGCTAATCAGGTCAAAATTACAACATTATATAAAAGACTCACTGAGTATTTAATTCTTGCCTTTTACAAACAACAGCAGACAGCTGTGAATTAAATTTGGGTCAAGGAAAAATGGACGTCTGAGACGAAGGAAATCTTTTTAAAATCTAGTTTAAATGCATTTTCATGGATCCTAGAGACCTTTGTAATCTCTTAGTAATTTTTGTATTCAAGTTAATTTCATATGTTTAAAACTATTACAATATTTTTTAAAAACGCTTTACTACATATTTAAAAACATAATTATTATAATAAATTAAATATGTTAATTTTAGCCTTTTTAATGGATAGTCCATCCAAAAAAAAAAAAAAACTCCTCATGTCTTTAATGGAAAGCCCATCCAAAAAAAAAAAAAAAAACTCCTCATGTCGTTCCAAACCTGTATGAATTACTTTCTTCTGAGGAGCATAAAAGAAGATATTTTGAAGAATTTTGGTAGCCAATTTCAGTTCCCATTGACTTCAATTGTATTTTTGTCCAAACAATGGAAGTAAATGGGAGCCACAACTGTTTGGTTACCAACATTCTTCAGAATGTCTTCATGTTTAACAGAAAAAAATCATACAGTTTGCCAAATGCAAACAAAAATCTTTTTTAAAGATTTTTAAAAAGACTTTTAAGATAAACATTTAAATAATGGTTCCATTTAAAAAGAAATTAGATTTTTCGGACCATTTTTTCAGGTTTTACAAATGCAACTAAATGCATGGTTAACTTACTAAATGGTTAACTAAATGCAGCGACCATTCGCCCCATAAGCTGAGGTGTATTCCCATCCCACCCTGCAGTGTGTTGTACCTCTGTAAAGGTTGGCCGGGGACTGGCAGGTGTGTCCACAGCCGTTTGAGCAGCACTTCTTGAAGCCGGAGCACTCGAGGTCGACCGCACAGCCCTCCACACAGGCTGCAGCGAATCCAGACGCCCGCTGGGGCGGAGGACAGTCGCCCTGCTTCTGTGACCGCAGCGAGCGCAGAAACTCAGCACTGGTCACACACTCGTGATGCTTCTTACCGAAGACAGAGACAGAGATAAAAAGCTCATTTTAGGAGACTCTGTTATCCATCAGTAGGTAATTGACAGGGCATTGCTGTATGGGTTCTAAGGCGTTTTGAGTGGTTTTTAGGGCATTACCCTGTTGGTGTGGTGTTTTAGGCACTTGCTTGGGTGCTGAGTGTTTATTAGTGCTGGTGTAAGTCTATACTTGAGTTTTAATAGAAAAGTGAGTGTAAATACAGAACAGTACACACATCTAAGTATCATTAATGTCAGTAGCAAAAACAGTGCAGAACAGGTAATGTGGTAAGTTTAATATGTTACTATAGACAGCCCCATCATTTTATTTTAGCAGTCTAAAATGACTGAATTTGTGGCTTCCCTCAAAAATTGTGGTGATATTTGCAGGATTTTTTTCTGTTGTTTTGCAGTGAAAATCTATCAATACTTATGATGTACTTCTAAGTGTTAGTGACAGTAAGACAGTAAGTAACAATTATCTGTAAATATTTTGTGCCTTTTAAATATTTTACATTTTAAATGATCATTTCATGTTTAACAAATATATTATTGTCTATTATTATAATTTTTTTAAATATACATTTTCACTGTTTATAATAGTATTGCCAGTGATTGCATTTACTTAAATTTTAAAAAGTGCATATCCAATAAAATATTTATAATATATATTAAATACAATAAAAATGTAATCTACTGGTAAAATCAGGCATTATGAAGATTACAAAATATTCACCCTAATATACATTATATTCTGTATGTAGAGTAGCTTAAAAGTATCATTAAACTTCTAAAAATGTTAATTTTGTCCCATGCTCTAGGGTCAAGGAAATATAAACAAGGCACGTGTCTCTGTCACTCCTTATTGGAAAGACAATATATGATTGTAGGTCATAAATACATGATTTGGAGTGATAAAATATTATTATTATTTTTATTTTTAATAATTGCACAAAAAGTCCTGGTGCTCTATATAGTCTGTCCATCCCTGCTCACTTTACATATATTGACAAGCATTTTGTTTTGCCAAAATAAAGACAAAAATGCAAGCTGCTGCATATAATGCAGTGCAGAGTTCGCTTGATTTGCGTTAAATTCTTCAACTTCAAAATCGCAAAATCCTGGGGGGACCGTACAGGGGTTTGTTCAACTCACTAACCCTAATAGCAATAGTAATAGTAATGCTTGATTTAGCACACACCACTAATGAGAGGCAGCTGGAAAATCAGGGAGTGACAAAAAGTGAAAGAAAGACACCGAGTGGTACGCAGCGGTTAGACGAAGCCACCCACCCAAACCATGCCGGGTGAGCCACAAAGGCATCCGGCGGTCCCTGTGTGTCTGTCCCGTCGTGTGTTTGTACTGACTCATGCGCTCTAGCCGCCATTGACACGCCGTTCCTTACGGCCCGAGTCAAACACACATAACCTCTGATTCTGCACACACATGTGGCAGCGGGGCGCTCTGGAAACTGTTCATCTGCACAACATCTCCAAGATTACTCAACTCAACACTTCTGTCAGTCTGAACGAGGCGCATGTTTCTTCCATTGGGTGAATCACAGAATTGGGAAAACAACAAAGGGCTTCACTGCGTGTTTCTAAGTGGCTGTGAAGAATTCTGGGTACTTATTACCCAACGCGTCTTATGCACAGCTGAACCACACAGCGCGTCCATCTGATGGACCTCAAGCGTTGAAACACTTCACGCTGACTGTTTAAATTAAAGCTTTGTTGAGATAACGATCGCTGAATTTCAACAAGATGTTAACAGTTGTTGCGCTTTCTGTGAAGAACAAAGGTCTGGACGTAAACACGGCTCTTATCTGGTTGACTTCAATAACATGCTGATCTCCGCTGAGGGAAACATAATCTCTGTGTTCAACTCTAAGCCACTCTGGGGACACGGGATAAAAGGGCCATAAAATCACACTGGAATTCTGAGAGTTGTTCAATTGCTGCTTCAATTCGTTTTAGACTAACGCACACAAAACCACACACATGCTTGACACGTCTTTGATTGCGGAGCGTGACTACATGGCTCCGTGTGCTAATTCATAAGCTCGTCTCAGACTTACATTTGTGTGGTTTTTAATCAGAGAAACATCCCACGCAATTAGCCTTTCCTTCACGGCTGTAACATTCTCCAGTCGGCGAAAACATAAGGAGGAATTCTTCCGTGGAGAGACTTACCTCGCAGGTCTTGGGAGACAGGGCTCGCCTTGTTTCCCATAGTTCCTTGCATGGTTGTAGGCACTGCAGACAAACAAATAAACAGTCCTGAGTACGGCCTATAACTTTTTAAATGCCACGGATAGCCGTGGAGAAACAGAACACACAAGTATTTGCATGTGAGCACAAGGAATGCACTGTTACAGTACAGCAGCCGTGGGGACACGTTCAAACTGTGTTGCATTGTGCAGACGGCAGAACTACAAACTGTTGTGACAAGCTGTTTAAAATATTGACAGATTGATGAATATTTCATGGGTTTGAAATTTGACCAAGTCTAGATGTTGTCGGATTTAAATACATTTCTACCCTGTGTTTATTTTGAGTTTTTAAGGAAACTTACCCCAACCCTAAACCTTTGAGCAGAAATAATATTTTGAAAGAACAAGGTGTAAATCTGTATCGATGTTCAATTTCACACACTCTTTCCCCTTAAAGTGAACTATGCTGCATTAAGGCCCTGGTATACACAAAGTGAAATCACACAACAAACAGGTGTCACATCATTTCGAAATCCAGACAAAAGGTGAATTTGAGTTCCCTTTGGTGGTTTGAAAATGCTTGTTTTAACCTTCTAAATTACATTGGCCCTTGACTTGGGCCTCTACCTGCTTTGATGAAAATATATTTTCTGTTTCACTTCCTCACACCGGATTCGCACACATGTATGCAGTGCATGAGTGAGGTGTTTTCATTTCTGTTATTACGGGTGCTGAAGTGAAAATGTACTGCCCACTACCCGTGCAACTGGTCCAACTTGTCTACCAACATGGTAAAGTGGCATGCCAACAAGGATGTAAAAGGCCGCAGGGTTCAGCATCAGCTGCTTGTGTGATGGTTGAGGTCAGGGGAGTGAGTTTTACTTGTACAGCTCTTACTATATGCCCTCCGTTTTACTTACCCCCCTTATCCTCACTCTAACCCGGGTCACGGCACCAACACAACTGGTCCAACTCGCACCACTCTGAATGGGATGCAAACTGGCATCCAATATGAGAGATGGGTATTAATAAGGACTCTAAAGACCATAGCCTCCAGAATTAGCTGCTAGTGCACCTCTTGATGTCAGGGGAGTGAGGTTTAACTGTACAGCTCTTAGTATCTGGCCTCTGTTTACTCATGCCTCACTACTATCCCGGTCATGGCATCAAAGTAACTGGTCCAACTTGCGTCACTCTGAGAGGGATTTGAATCAGCGTCAACTGGCATGGTAGGCAGGTGCACTAACAAGAAAACTAAAGACCACATCCTTTGGCATCAGTTACTTGTGTGCCTCTTGAGGTCAGGGGAGTGTGGTGTACCTGTACAACTCTTATATGGCCTCCATTACACTCTCCCCCTAAACCTCACCACTTTCCGGGTCACGGCACCAACGTAACAGGTCTGACTTGTGCCACTCAGGGGAGTGAGGTTTGCCTGTATAGCTCTTACTATTTGTACACTATCTGTTGCACCTGCTCACACAGTATTCATGAATCCAGCAGCGTGGGATCTAAATATAGCAAACAGCATACCATCCCTCAGCTTTTTTTCTATAAATAAAGAAAGATGAAGAACTTTGTTGTGAGTATACCAAAGTCTATATCCACAAAATGAATGTTGTATGAATGAACGAATCAGTTTTCTTATGAATGGAGAGTAAAATACAGCAAAACCTTTGTTGCTTATGCTCATGCAGCTCATAATTTAAACCACGGTGAAGATATAATTTCCAGTTTTCCACCCTTTCTTTCCAATGACAACTGTTCTAAGTTGTTGTAGAAGTAAATCACTTGGCTTTGTGCTAATGCTTTAATGATTACAATGGAAAACGATGTAGATATATTAGATATTGAATGCACTGTCTGCACGAACAGATTCGATTTCATTGCTTACAAAATGTGGTCAATCCTAATGATCAGATTTGTGCGAATAAAGCCTTAGATGTACAAGCATTCAAACATCCGATACAAAGGATGACCACATTTGTTCCGTTCAGAATCGAGTGTGTTTTTTCCCCTCTAATCTAAGTGATCCGTTCCCTGTGAGACGTGCTCCCGGTCGAACCCCCGCTGGCCGGGCCTCCAGTCGCTCATGTGCTGGAACATTTGAACACATCTGTTGTGTGTTATGTGATGGATTATTCTGACATCTGCCCCCATCTATCCCCCACCTGAACAGACAGCTTTCATTTGGCTGAACTCAAAGGCAAGACCACGTTCAAAAAAGAAGAAAATGGACAGAAAATAAGAAAGCGGGGAGACATGGAGTGAAACTGGTTTCACCTTACTGCAAAGATAATCTTATTATCAAGAAAATCACGTCTAAATCTGTCATTTATCGTGACTTTGATTAAAAAGGATACAGGGATTCTTTTAAAAATATGTTCATCTCAAATAAGATTTGTTTTTCTTCTGGTGATACCAGTGTCTAGCCAATGCCCATATCACTACAGACTGACAGTCTGCAGAAAGGAAAACAACCAAACTCATCCAATACTAATACTGTCAGAAGTACAAAATATACAAAAATAAATTCTTCAACAAAAGGTGAAGTGTGTTTTTATGTTAAAATGTAGAAATGTGGAAAGATATGTAGAGTCAACTATGAGTACAGCTTTTTGTAGGTTTATTACCCAGAAAATATAACTTGTTTGTTTGAGGAGGCCAGAATAGCAACACTGGTGCAACCATTCCCTCTGTGAAAAAAGCACACTTTTATTACAGAAATAATAAACTTTAAAATAATATACTGGACTGGTTGTAATGTTTACTTAATCGCATGTTAACTGTTATTAAATGAAAATGTATGATAATTTATATTTATATTAAATGCAATTAGCTGAATTTTAGAGTAAGTAGGACTTAAGTACGTTTATATGTAATTTTAAAATGTTGTACTATTGTCTCTGAAATATGGTTAAAGTGTACTGCTGAATGTACTGACAAACATAAATGTTTACCATACTTTAATGTAACATGAATTTAAGTCATGTATTATAATATATTTGTAATTACACATTTGTAATGATGAAGTTGCTGTTTAGTATGTTTAAAATATATTAACTTTAAATGTAATTTTTGAATAACACACAACAGTTCAAATTATAATCAAGTGCTAAAAGACTAATAAAACAGTGATTCAAAATGTACTTTAAAACCTTTAAATTGAAAAAGTGCATTATTATAAAGTGCATTTTTAGAAGTGTACTTAAGATACAGTACACTTAAGTGGCCTTTTATTTCATTAATATTACATTATCTGTAATTACAGCTTTTTAAAAGTAAACTTGTAAGATTTGAAGTACCCTACAAACACGCACACTGAATGCAATCCAAGCCCCTACATATATGGACAAGCAAAATTTGTTTATCAAAAGATTATATGGCAATGTAAATTCATGAACTGTCAGTTATGATGTCCCTATGGAGTGTTTTCACGTTTCTGTATATTCAGTTGAGGTCAGTATAGCTCCTGTGTGTCCAACCTCCATCTAATGACTGCTGACAGCCCTCAACACAACACACACACACACACACAGTTTGGCAAACACACTGTCTGTGAGTCATCAATATGACAACACACTCCTGAGAGGAAGGGGTGACGGGAGAGAGGCAGAGATCTGGACTGCATTAGTGCGTTTGTGAGCAGCAGATCTACCACAAACATTGCGGCAGGGGGTCAGCGCATGGAGACCAGTAGCTGTGACACAGGTTATCACTGACTAATTTCCCTCAGACAAAGGCCTCTGGCATGACACACGTGGGACTGTGGGATATGTTGATGGATGAATGAGTGAAGAAGCATCTGCTGCTTCTTTTTACAAAAGATCTCAGTGTAACAGTGAAGAAGTAAAACCGTGATGCAGCTTCTCCTTACATTGAGGTGATTTGAAGTTTAGGTCGATTAGTGAGGTCAGCTAGTGAGTTTATCTTCTGAGTGGTGCTAAAATGGATATGAATGAAGGGTAACACTTTAGACTAGGGAACACTTATTCACTATTAACTACGACTTTACCCTCTATAAATTCCTAATTTGCTGCTTATTAATAGTTAGTAAGGTAGTTGTTAGGTTTAGGTATTGGGTAGGATTAGGGATGTAGAATAAGGTCATGTAGAATAAGGCATTAATATGTGCTTAATTAGTACTAATAAATGGCTAATATTCTAGTAATATGCATGCTAATAAGCAACTAGTTAAGAGACCCTAAAATAATGTGTTACCGAATGGAGTGACGCCTGCTGGATTTTAGTGTACTGTCAGTATGTGGGCTTTTCCTAACAGTACCTGCTACACTGACTACATTCACATGCATGGCAGAAAACGGCTTATTGTGAGAAAGCTGTGTAAAATAAGAAAACGTAAGAATGCTGCTTATGTGGTTACATGGCCACATAAAAAACCTGGGTGTGTTAAACCGCTTTCTCTTCCCTTAAAACAGAGTTCACATTAACATTTTTATTCTGACCATTTTGTTATGTGCATTATTGTCATTTTAACAGTAAAAGCCTACAAAAGGCTACAGTAAAAACCTGTTTATTGATTAACGGTAAATTGCCTTACTATATACACTCTTAAAGGTTTTTTATTGGCAGCTGTGGTTCCATCAAGAACCATTAACATCCATCGAAACTTTATTTTTAAGAGTTTACAGTGAAAAATAGCAATAGATCTAATGAGACATTTTATGTAATTTTCAGTAAAATACTGTTAAATGTACAATTTTTGGAAGTAAAAAAGAACATCTTACAGTTATATTGTATAGCTTATAGAACATCTTATCTTATAGTTGTTATAGTGAAAAACTGTAAATTGATTTTTCTTCATTGAAATAACTATTTCTTCTGAACTTTTTTAATATCTGTTATGCATTTTAGGTTTTATGTCACATACTGTTCTGTAAAATTACCATTTATTGCATTTATTGAATGTATCCATTAATTATTATTTGTAGTGTCATGCACTGTATGTTACCATGATTGTGTTTTCTTTCTATATTAGTATTTACCTCATCTTATGGAAAAGCTACTTGTTAAAAAACACAT